ACCCTTCCCAACCACGCCCACGCTTGGCCCAGGCCACCGGTTGGACACCCGCGGGCCCGTGGTAGCCCGGTGGCTCACCCGCCGCGGCCACCGTTTACCTTTGGGCTCTGGCGGTGGCATCAGGCCCAGCCTGACTTTCTCTTGCAGCTCCTTCTGCGCTTCTCTCCGAGTCTGTCGCCGTAATTTCTTCTGCTCTTTCTTGGTTAAATAAACACCCAGGGTCACTGGCGTGTCGCTGTCCACTGGGAAGAGAAACGAGGCGAGATAAGCGCCATCTGCTCGTGGAGGAGCAAGAGGAAACGCCGCCCGCAACCGCCCCGCGCCAAACCCGCCCCGCGGCGGCCGCCGGCGCCCAACACCGAACCAGGAAAACGGGGTTTGGCCGGTTTTTGATTTTACTGAAAAGCAGAACGCCCCGTGGTCGCTTCACGTCCCTTCCTCAAGGCAAGAAGGTCAAAACCAACCTGCCGGAGAGGAGGCGCTCGTGTCCGCGCTGCCACCCCGCCTGGGCCACCGAGGGGGTAAACAAGCTCCCGGTGACCACTGCAGGTTGCCAAAACCAGGGCAGAGGCTCCCCCTCCCCATTTCGGAGCTTTCAGACCCATCTTTGCACCATTCCTTCTCCTCGCAGGGACAAGAGACGCTGGGCTGCAGCGCTCCAGGTGGGGGCCGGCGTGCTGGCCCACCCCCCCCAAGCGCCAGCCGCTCGGGAGTGTTTTGTCTCTAGTTTTAACAGCGAAGTCGACCAAAAGCGGGGCGGTACCTGGCGGGTTGAGCTGCGCCGGGTGCTCCACGAGGTTTGTGATCCCGAAGTACTCGTCTCTCTTTGAGGACGTTCCACCTTTTCTAGAAAGGAGAGAGTTTGGAGTCATTGGAAACCTCCCAGCCGCGACTCCTGCGCTCGGGACCTCCCCAAAGTCTCCAGCCGCGCGGCAGAACGATCAAAACCTGGCAAGCGAAGTACTCACAGGTCGAGGCCGTTGGGGATGATGTAGGAGTCCCACCACTCTATCTCCGGGATCTCCCCCTCTTTCAGCTCCTTCTTCGGGGTAATAAGAGCCAACTTGGTGGAAGTGTGTATCCCCGTCTTCCTGGCAGCCTGCGAGATCTCCGCCTGCAGCTTTTCCAGCTGAGCCTGAGAACGAGGAGAGGACAACGGCACATGAAGGTCATTCCAAGAGGGCACAACCTTCAGGAAAAGCACAACCCGTATCCGCCTGCCCATTGATTTGTTTTTTGTGAGGCATCTGAAGCAGACCGCAGCAGAAACCGCACGGCACGACGGCGGAGGGCTTCTGCGAAGCTCACAAACCCGCTAAAAACCTGGTCTCGTCACCGAGCCTTCTAGGAGCACGGAACAATCCCAAAGGAATGTCTCCCTGGGCACGGAACAATCCCCCGGGCATTGCATCCCTGGACTTTTCTGTCTAATAAAGCTCTTCTCTCCCTTTCTCCCCAAGAACTTGGGCATTTTTACCACGATTCCTTTAAATCTCCACCTCTAAGGTGATCACTTCTACGGAAAGAACACTCGGCCAGGAAATGATCTATTCCCTTTGGAAATTTTCAATCTTTTGCCAAAAAAAAACCCAAACCCTAGATTTTGTCTTTCCTCATGTGAAACTAGCTGTAGGAAAACACCTTCCATGCACGTGTCCTAATCTGGACGCCCGCCTTTCCGACACGAACGGCGCCGACAGAAAAGCTTCAGGTGACCTTACTGCAAAGCTTCTTACTCAAAGCCAACACAGGTCCCTTCACATCCCAGGAGAGGAGAATCAACTCCCATCCCGCACGGAACCCTCACTTCTGTGCTGTCAGTTAGCATGGCAAGACCTCAAATACCTTCGTTCGCAACCTCTGGGCAATTTTCTCAAATTTGCCTTTTTCATGGAACTTAAAGGTGCGTTTCTGACGCTGGGCTGGGGTTATGGAGACCCGGGGGTCAAAGTAAGTGTTCGACTCCATATCTTCCGAGGGCTTTTCTTTAAGCTGCTGTTTGAACTGCTCTCTCTTCACGGCTCGGATGTTTGCTTTTAGGGTTGGCATGCGGTGAGTCAACTCAATCTCTTTACCAGTCGCGTCAACAGTTCGGCCTTGCTCATCCAAGATCAGTGGCGTGGGCTTTGTCTGATCCTTCAGCTCCACTTTCCTGGGGGGGCGAGACAAGAGGCGCTGCGTTAAAACCCCCCCGAGGACAGCGCCAACTCCCAAGGAAACCTGAGCCCCGGTTTCCACGGCAAGCACCGAACCAGCCCCCGGCTGGCGAAAGGCCTCCTCGTAACGTTACATCCCATCTATGCCGCCAGAGAGAACTCCAGTCTCGCCTGCAGAAGTTGGAAGAGCCTTACCCAAGGAAGGAGTCGCCTCCATCGCACTTTTTAAACGCAAAATCTGTTCCTTCAGCAGCCGTTTAGGCCGCTGCTGGGGACCCAGCAGCGCTGGAGAACCCTTTGGTCAGCCCTTCCACCGGCGCTAGGCCCGCCAGGACGACCCCGCGAGCGGCAGGTACTCACGGCGGCGCGATCCCCATCGCGTGCAGGTTGGCCAGCCCCACCATGTTGGCGTTGCCGATCAGCCCCGGTTTCAGGGCCAGCTGAGCCTGGATCCGGGCCTGCAGCTCCGCCGCTTTCCTGGCCTTCTCGATGGCGTCGTTCATGAACGTCGCTGCCTGGGAGGGCTGGATCGTGTTGCCGATGGGGAGACGCTCCGATTGGGACGAAGAAGAAATTTTTGGCTGTTGACAGAGAAGGAAGTTTTGTTACGGGCCTGCTGCAGCACGAACGAGTCGTCGCTGAAAAACGGGGACCATTTGCCCGCTGCTTGCAGTACCTGCGGGGCTGGAGGACTGATGAAACTCAGCTGCTTTTTCCTCTCTTCAATCTGCCGGGTGGCTGCCTCCATCATCTGTTTGATCTGCGGAAAGGAAAGGGGACAGTGAATTTTCCTTCCCTCTATCAGGAGGGGAGAGGGGGCTCCTCGGCCCCCTTTTAGAGCTGCAAAGGCAGGCAAGGAGGACAGAGCCGTGCCAAACCGCTCTCCTCAACCACCTCCAGCTGTAGAGGAGGAACCGGACGGCGCGGGCCCTCTTACCAAGGCCGCTGTCTCCAGCTTGCGCCAAGAGAACACCCAAACTTTCCCCACCCGAGGGCTTCCCGCTACCGTTCGGCACAAGGGGCAGCGAGCAAGGGGACACAAAGGACAGGCAAAGCAGCTCGCCCTGTGCTCGCTCAGCTCGTGGTGGGAACGAAGGCGAAGCAAATGCTAAACCACGCTGGGATTCAAGACCTCGGGCAGGGGCAGAGCTCACGGAACGCGGCCGAGCGGGACGGACCTGCAGCTTGGTCAGCATGCCGGGGCTCTCCGATGGCGGGCCCGGAATGACCTCGGGCTCATCCTCAACCTCCTCGAATCGTGGGATGCGCCGCTTCTTGACGCCGGAAGATTCCTTGGATACCTCGGAGTCATCACCAAACACGTCCTAACGTAAAAGGAGAGAAGGAGAAAACGGCGGTTAAAACCCCAGGGTTCTCCTCACGGCCAGTGTTGTAGGATGAGAAACTGCTGACGGGGGGGTCGCCGTCACGACCGACTTCTCTCCCCCGCGGCAGAGAAGCCGGCGCTTCGTTACGGCAGCGCTGGGGAGCACGGGG